CTACACCAGTGGTAGTCCTGCAATGTTCGTCCGGTAGTCTATGGGCAGCTGTGTCCATGTCCATACGCCTGAAGGTTGGTAGGGAGGGGTGGTATAAACCCTCCTTGACCGCCGCCAACTGGGCCCTCCTAAAAGTAGGGTATTGCGGGACATAATATGGTACTTCTACCGTCGGCATTTTCAGATATTAACTATTGAAATATTTAAGAAACACTTTGATATTATATAGCGAAGCGAGATCCTCTTTTGCTGCTGAATATTGGAGATGATGAGTATAGGAATCGTGTTCGAACTTTGTACTGGCCACTCAAGCTATAAAAAGATAAGACGCTGGAGATGTTGTTTGTGTTAAACACAGTTCACTTGTTGCCGGTGCGCTAAGGAGTGACTACACATGGTAATCCCTATTGTAATCAAGTTTGATTGTTACGTGCGCATCCAGGGAAGACCGTCCCCCTAGCAACGCGTATAATGATGGTTGCAAGGACGCATGCGCAGTTTACGTAATTGCTTTATTATTACTGTAGGAACGTTAATGAATAATTCATCGATGTGCGGGGCTGGCTCGTACTAGGAGACGGCAGAAAATTAATCAAGTAGATCTATATGGATAATGAAAAAAGAATAGCTTTTAGATGATTAATGTCAACAGACTAATTCTTACCACACATGTAAGCTCATGGGCCTGTGCAATACATTTATGGCGTTAGTTTGATATATTAAAAGGGTTTAAAAAAAAAATGTGTATAGGCCTTTTTTCGATTCGTAAAAAGTAAGCAAAAACATATTCCCTATTTGGTCAAGTACAGGCGCGTACGCAGCAGGGGGGGGGGGGGGGGGGGGGGGGGGGGGGGGGGGGGGGGGGGGGGGGGGGAGGGGGGTTGAACCCCCCCCCTTTGGTATTTTTATGTGTGTAAACCCCCCTAAAAAAACCTAAACCCCCCCCCCCCCCCCCCCTTGGGGTTTTTTTTTTTTAATTATTAAAAAAAAAAAAAAAAAAAAAAAAAAAAATTATGCACATGGCTGACCTAAAAAAGGTGACCTTACCCCCCCCCCCCCCCAAAAAAAAAAACAGTGTCCTCTTACCTCTTCCTTTTAATTGAATCATATCCCGTATCGCCTCATCTGTTTGTTTTTTTTACCCCTCTCACACCTCCCAGACATCTCATCTCTGCAGCTTCCAGCTGTTTCACGCGGTCTTCCTTTTACTGCCCAGGGCCGGGCCCAGGGCCCGTGTTTTATACGACTATCAATAACAAACGCTAAATTTCTATGACAAATTTTTCCTCGGCCAATCAAAGGCCATGATTTCAGTAGCTTATAACATTTATAGTGGCTTGTTATTGGAAACAAGTTTCATGAAATAGGTCTTTCCCCCATAGACTATAATAATAGTAATAATAATCCATTTTTATATAGCGCATAACACATTTCAAAGTATGTCTCTATGCGCTTAGAAAGAAAAGCAAAGACAAAAAGGAAACTGAGTTCCTTTTACAATAAATTGAAATAAATACGTTTTCAGGGTGGACTTCAACTTATCTATTGTGTCAGTGTTTCTAAGTGAGTCTAGGTGGCTATTCCCTAAAACTGGGGCAGCATGGGCAAATGAACGTTCACCATATGTGTTTGTAAAAATAGGAGGAACAAAAAAATACATCCTTTTACATGATCGAAGATTTCTTACTGTTTTATATACAGTGAGTAATAAGAGAGAGCAAATTCATAAAAACATTCATAAGCTAATAGCGATAACTATAATGTTACCGCGCGGACCATCGTTTTGAGCTTTCGGTCTCTTTGGAATCATTTTATTGCCGTTTAAAAATAATGCACTGTATATATCCTCTAAATAAGAACGAAAGGACTAGCACTAGTAACATACCGAGTTTATGCACAACTGTTTTAAGCCGATGAATTTTAGTGTGCAGTGCAGTCTTAACACCAGCTTTTTTTCTTCTCAAAACGACGTAAAGTTAATGTAATTTTTCGAATGAGCTCGTTCCTCCAACTTTGTTTCGATGGAAGTAAAAAAAAAAAGAAGCAATATCAGCTATGGAATATTGTTTGGGGAGGGGGGATGAGGCATCTCATTCCATGTGAGAGAAAATTTAAACTTAGTACACAGTTGAATCATATCTACGAAGTAGTCGACTTTGACAAAAAACAGGTGTTCTCATCTTTGATTGTAACTATTGTTCTTCATGTCCCCTTTCATCTCTCTCTCTCTCCCTCTCTCTCTCTCTCTCTTTCTCTCTCTCTTTCTCGCTCTCCCATCCTCCTCCTCTCTCTCCTCCTCATCATATGAAAAATATGTTACTAGCGACGTAAAGTTAATGTAATTTTTCGAATGAGCTCGTTCCTCCAACTTTGTTTCGATGGAAGTAAAAAAAAAAAAAGCAATACCAGCTATGGAATATTGTTTGGGGAGGGGGGATGAGGCATCTCATTCCATGTAAGAGAAAATTTAAACTTAGTACACAGTTGAATCATATCTACGAAGTAGTCGACTTTGACAAAAAACAGGTGTTCTCATCTTTGATTGTAACTATTGTTCTTCATGTCCCCATTCATCTCTCTCTCTCTCTCTCTCTCTCTCTCTCTCTCTCTCTCTCTCTCTCTCTCTTTCTCGCTCTCCCATCCTCCTCCTCCTTCTCCTCTCCATCATATGAAAAGGCGATTTACAGTTAACTACATTATTCATATGTCGTGAAATGTTGATTTGCCCCGATTTATGTTTCTTGAGAATGCGACATAGTACTAAAGCTTACATCTACCAGTATCAAACAAAGGCCCTAATTCAACCATTCCACCTTCCATCCATTCTTGAGTTACGAAAAACGCAAAAACATCAAATTTACAAGGGGTATGAGTTGTTCAGTTGTCAACTGTAAATAAGTACAAAGTGCCGCTACTCCCTCTCCAGTCAGTATTTCCATTCTTTGGGCAGCCTACATGCCACCTTCTTTGCAAACACGCATATTCAGAATATACTGAAAACCCTAGTAGCATTAAGATCAATTTTAAGCTGTAAATTATTGCATTAAATGAAACAAAAATGGAATACATTAAATGCAATAGCATATGTACTTTGACACTAATATCGAACAGAATAATATTATAGCAATCAACATGTATTCATTTTAGTTTTCTATATTTATTTTCTAACTACATTGTATGTAGACAGTAAAAAAAAGAAACAAGAGTTGATTTTTAACAAGAAATTACTTTGCATAATAAATTCTAATACGTAAATCATAATGACAATGCCCAGGAAAAGACAAGAAACACATCTCATATACATATTGATAATAGTTTAAAATAATATTCATGTACACACTGTAGTTCTACTTGCGCCCTCTATACAGCCAACAATGCCTAAGTGGTACCGTACCCGTTGGTCCCCCATTGTCCCCTTATGTTAATAGAGAGCTGGTTTGATGAGATAACCACCTGCCACAGCGACCATGCAGGGAGGTCTAATCCCTCCTGGCCAAACTAGTGGAGATAGGCTTTAAAATGAAGAAACTATTTTATTTATGGTAAGCAAGGGAGAATCCTCCCGACACTGGGTGGGGGGGGGGGGGGTATCTACTGTATACAATTTATAAAAAATGAATTTACAAGAAAAAGGAGTAACCCTTCACCAGTTTGAGTCGAAGGTAAAAAAGAAGCTTCCCAAATGGTTTAATTATGTACATGTACATGTATATAGGTGGTTAAACAGATATTTTCTCTATCAGCCAAATAATAATAATAATAATAATAATAATACTCAGTTTTTATATAGCGCTTATTACAATTATCACTACGCGCTTCCAAACTTGGAGATTATTACCCCGGCTTTAGCTGTGCTGCCATTACGGCGCTCTAGAATTTCAAAGAATGAATTCCTGCCAGGTACCCATTTACATCACCTGGGTTGAGTGTGGCAAATGTAGATCAATGTCTTAGAAATCCCTTACAAGAGAAATATAAAGAGTATGGACAGTGTAATAGATTTTTAAAAAATGTTGCACCTACTGCCCCCCCCCCTCCCCCCAATCCCAAATACAAAGCATAAGGTGTTCTCAAAGACTCAAATGCCACAAAATAAACTTTCTCTTACACACTAATATTGAATGGCAATCACACTATATGCACTACAATGTATATGCACTCCATGTACATGTACTCTCAATGTATATATACATATGACTTTACCTTTCTCAATTAAGGAATGTTACCTAATATCAAACAACTCAATAGCTGTGTCTATGCTCGCTCAGAGTGATCTCGGTGATTTTCAATGAACATAAAGTGAGAAGACACATATAAATCTGAAGATAAAGATAAAGACCAGTTATGGTCGTGCGATTGCATTGTAAAAGAAACGTTGTGGAATCGATCAGAAAGGGTTGATCATCTAGCACATAAGTATTGGTGTGTACTGCAAGGTTCTGGAATCATCAAAATAATAAGAAATTTGGCCCAGTCTTGGTAAAGTTACAAGCACTGTACACAGAAAGATGTATATGGGACTACGCAATATCTATCAGGTCCAAATAGATATAATAATTTACCCAATATATCAATTAGTTGGCGGTTTCTCAGCAAAATTTGTATGATCACGTATTAGTCAAAACATATTCTTTCACATGATTGGTAATAAGAGCTTCCATTTCATTTTTTGAGAGGGGGGCGTTTCCAAAACTGGTCTTTACCTTTAAGATCATGGAATGATTGAAAAACAGGGTGTTTCATCTTCCAAACATTAATCAAGAAAGATCCTGTTTTGTTCTTCTTCTTTGAATTTGGTGGTGGACTTGTGGTTTTACATTGCATGGAGGAACTACAAATTGAGAATTATTGAGAGCACATGTGCATAGTACATTTACACAATTATTCACTACTTTGCCGTGACATTAATATTGTAGAATCCCTCATGTGATGATTAACACAGTAAGACATCCTCAATCAAGCATCTACCCGCCACAGAACATATATTTTTTTAAATTTTCAAATCATATTAATGTGGAATCATAAATTAGAGCATTTCTTCTGTTCTGTTCTCTCCCGGCAACAAGTAATGATGATGACCTGAGGTAAGTTGAGTTGAATTTGGCAGTTTGCAGCCCTGATCTGGTAATGAGCTACCTTGTAAGATAGTGTCGTGATGAATCTTAGATATAATATAGAGGGTTCAGTGACACAAAGACGTAACTCCATATTTTGCCAAAATGAGTATTTGATATCAACATGTTCAGAAAACTGTGGGCTTTACAGGAAACACAAAGACTTAACTCCACCCAACACCCCCTTAGAGTCAATGGTTAGTGAAACATAGACTTAACTCCTTTAAAAGGCCCAAGTGCTCAGTGACACATAAACCACTTTTTCTCAAAATGGCCAAAATGGAGTTACGTCTTTGTGTCACCTATTCCTCGATATTCTCTTACTCAGTTAGCTAGCTTAGAGCTAACCATTGTCACAAAAACTGTATTGAGAACAGATTAGGGTTAATAATATACAGTTAAAGCACCTACGAAGGACTTACAAGACCTCAAAATCTCAAAACTGATCTGTAGCAGCAAGGTGAGCTTACGGAACTAAATGCTAAATATGCAAAATACTCTATGGTTTTCTTTTTACTGAGTGAAAATTGAAGCCCTCAATGTGTACCCAACAAATGGGGTGAATGAAACACTGCCACTTGCAAAATTCAAATTTGAAAATAAACACGACTTTGATTTTACCAATAATGAATATTTTGCAACCATACCTTTAGGAAAGTGTTCAATTTAGAATATTTACAACATTTTGGACCTTTTACAAGTCTGGGATTTTCACCTTGCATATCCCTGCAATGCCTTTTAAACCTGTATGTAAAGATTGCTCAATGGAGACAAGAAAAGCGGCAGTGGAAGTGGTCTGTCAGAAAATGTTTAATTGATACCAATGACGAGTTTTACAAGCAGTTGTTATTGAATAGAATTGAATTTAGATGGTTCAATGTACCGTTGGTGCATAAATGAATAATGTTACATAACTTTCATGAGCGCATATCCAGTATTCATCTCTGTGGGTTTTACCTTTTTGGTACAAATTACCTTTATCTGCCCACGCGCAGATTGTATCTGTAAACTCCCTTATAGGAGAGTCTTTGAGTTTGACTGCACTATTCATGGCTATGACTATGGGTATTTCAGTGAAAGCTATTCCTCTTCAGCTAAATACATACATTTAACTTCACCTCACTTCTAACATCATTTTTCTACATGATAAAGACTAACATCTGCCATTACCAGCTATATCTATCTACAATGTAAGTGACCAGATATATATATATACATGAATTACCAAATATATTTTTTCCAAAGTTCATCTTCTACACGTATGTACAGCATAAAATGTAGTACTCCGATGATTGGCCCTCAGTCTCGTTCGTACTCTATATGAGTGAGGAGTTTGGAGACGGTCTCCACCAGCTTTACGCTGCTCCCACAAATGATCTGTCTGGACATGATATCCAAGGGGCCACCTGGATACAAGGTGGGACAAGCATACAAGTGATGGGTTAACTCATTGCATGTGGAGGGGAGGGGAAGGGAAAGGAAAGGGGAACGGAAGAGGAGGGGTGAAAAGCTCCCTTCCCTACAATATCTATAAATATAAACTGTATATAGATTTATAGTGCATATACATAAGTGTTAATAAATACTGCTTTAAAATAGACATACCTTACATCATGAGACAATGGAGTATAAATTGCATAAAACAAGCAATTTTCTTTGAAGGCATTTGTTTGCAAACTGTCATATAATGTAAAGTAAAAGCAAACAAAATATTTTACCAGTTTTACCAGTATGCGTTAAGGACATCTTGTAGTAAAACAATGTTAATCTCAAGGAAAACAAGGCGACACTAAAAGGGGAAACAATTCTCTGAAAAAGGCTCTACTTAAATGTCCAAACTGTAAACACCCCTTCTCCCTGATAAGACATAGCTATACATATATCCTGCTTAATGATCAAGATATACAGTGCGTCCCAGAAAAAATGAAACCGAGAATTATCGAAGTTTTTTCATAACTTTATCACAATTATAATCAATAAATGACACACATTTGGAAAGCTTAGACCCTCCTCTTTCATTTGATGCAACTCATATAATACATATTTCACGCATGAGTGATTTAAATGAATTTGAAGAGAGGAAACCAAAATTTCATTTGGCGGGCGGTATCTGAATTTCAAAGAGAAAATTACATTTCCAGAAAGTTGAGTTTCTGCTCTTTCATATGACACCTCAATAAGGAAAAATGAGCAAGGAATGACAAAGTTATGTTTGTTTAAAGTAGTGCTTGCATTTCCATAGTTTTATCAAACAAATTTGTTTTCACTGGCTGCCTGCTGTAACAAAAAGTAGAATTGACAAAAGACTTAACTCCGTTTCGTAGACAATCATCCATGCATGAAGTCTTTCGTCTACGGCTGATTGTTCTCGGTTTTGTTTTTTCTGGGACGCACTGTATATTGGATTCGTCTTCAAAAGGATTTTTAGTATATTATTATAATTCCTATCAATTACCCATTTACTAACGCCAGGGGGGTGTTTCACACAAACTAAGATTGACTTTGAGTTGTACTTAACCTATGGCAGGCCATTCATGCCACTGTTTGCTCCGACCATTATGATCTTTAGATATTACATTTTCCTTCAATACTGAATCATCAAAAAATGTAAATTCTAGATATTGGTGACCATGATTTGTACGTTCTTTGAGAGACTAATGCCCGTTAATGGTGAGAGCAAACAGTGGCCTGCCATAGTTAAGTCCAACCTAAAGTCGATCTTAGGCTTTGTGAACCACCCTCCTGGATGGAGAGTGGCAAGTGTAGATGTATAGCCTACCTCTAGGATCTGCACAATATCCCCCGGCCTCTTCAAGGATAACAGCAGCCGCAGCCATATCCCAACAATGAATACCATATTCAACATAGAGGTCGCTGTCACCACGAGCTACATGGCACATGTTGAGGGCAGCAGAACCAAGCGACCTCATACTGCAAGGGACAAAATATTTTAATGTATGAATTGAAAGTGTTCATTATAATGGCACAGGTGTATGAAATCTACTCCCAACCCTTTCAAATGGCAAAAACAAGGGGAAATGAGGAGAAAAGAGACGAAGAAAACGAATAGAAGGAGAGGAAGGTTGAGAAAAGACAATAGGACATTCTTGGCACCTTTCCTCTTAAAATTGGTGAAAATGGTACCGGTAAACCATTCAGGTGGCAGATGCCCTATTACCGGGGAGAAACGACTATGGTATATAATCAAGCACATATAATTCATATTAGGTACATGTACCTGAACCCCAACAAACTATATATTTTTGGAAAAGCTTATGAGTTGATCGACACAAAAAATTGCACTTTGGCAAATTTGCTTTAACCCTTACTGTACTGGGCTATTATGATCTAGGCCGTCGAATGTCCGATGAACACAAAAATTTGCATGTTTGTAGATATTTACGTAAGGAACAAGATGGTATAATTAGTTTTTTCCTAATATGCAAATTGTTGTCATTATAGCCTAATTAATTATGCAAAATGCAAATTTTATGCATTTTACAGAAAACTCTACATATTTGTCTGTAGACTTGTGAAGAATCTTGAAAATGAATTGAATAAATCTTTCCTTCATATCAAATTCATGAGGTTTCATTAATTTTATATTTGAAAATGCATAGGTTAATTTGCTTAAATTATGAATATGCAAATTACGCATTCATGAATATCAAATCTGGAAATATACTGGGAACTAGAATAGTTACACAAATTGTCAGACTCCACTTTTTGAATGTTGAAACTCATTATTCATATGAAACTTCTTTTCTAACACAAAATAGTTATTTTGATGTAATTAATAATGATAATTTATGCAAATTCATGCAATTTTCAAATATTTATTTTCTTATGTATTTTATTTCGTATTATATCTATTGTTTTATTTCTAATGTATTCTTTTGTTCTGGAATACATCAAGTTACTTTGAGAAACATGTAAAAGCTTTTGTCATCAATTCATATCTCCCACTAATGCCTGGATTACATTTGCCCCGGGCGCCGTACGATAAATTAGTCTACAATTTTTCGTAGACATCGTAGGAGGCTACGGGCTACGATGTTTGTGTTTACATTATCTACTAGCATCGTGCCATTTATTGTATTGGCCCTCGAAGGCAGGCCGGGCAAATCCGTACAGAGGCTGCTCGGAGATTGTACGGAAATCGTGCAATTTGCATGCAGTAGCCGTGCAGTCTCCGCAGCCTCCGCACGGAAATCATATGGAGCCTGTGCAGCTTCCGTGCAAAGGTTGCACGGAGAAGGCGCGGTGACCGTACAGCAACCCTGCGATAGCTGTGCAATTGCCGTGCGAATGCCCCACGAGTCTACAATCTCCGTACGATTTTCTTTGCCCCCATGTTCACCGAAAAATTGTACGTTTGCTGCACAATCAGTGCAAGGCCTCCGGGCGATGCCCGTGCGGGGATTGTGCAATGCCACCTACGACATGTATACGGGCTACGGGCTTACGATTTTTTCAACTTCAATTTTTTTAACTTCTCGCGAAACAAAATCATAAAGGCTGCAGAGCCCATGAATCCATACGAAAATCTCACGGCCGCCTCCTGCCACCGCACAGAGGCCGCACGGAAAAGGGGATACAAGCAGGATACGGGCTCCGTAGACTAATCGCAGGCCAAATATAATCCAGGCATTAGGAAGAAATACATCTGCTTGAAAATGAATATATGCAATTATAGCACTTTTTGATGACATGCGCATACTAATTGTTATGTAACACCTTACAGGTATATCTGATTTCTACGAAAATGGTATCAAAATGTGCGTAAGACTCAAGGGAAAAAAGTCATGAAACGGTAATTCAAAATTTTAAGCGGTTGCGGCGCAATCTCTGAAATGTCTAGGGGGAGCCTCCCAGCCCCCCCCCCCCCCCCCCCCCAGTACAGTAAGGGTTAAGCCTAAGCAAATTATGGTCATTGATGACCCTGAAAATCAAAAATTTTCAATGCATGAACTTTTTAAAATGATGATAGTTTGTTTGCATGGTACCTGTACAGGTGAAGTTGTGTATGAAAGTCTTTTCTGAACTTCTCATTATCTGACTAGTTGTTAAATCAATAATTTTTAATTTCTATTCTAACTATTTCTTAAAAGCCATCAGAGATTCATCATTAAAAGAAGTCCAAAGATGAGGTATGACCTAATTTGTTTAATTTGTATTTACCCATGACGTAACATTACTTGAGGGAGGAGATGTACATGTATATCCGCATGGAATAAACGCATTTACAAGCTAGAATACCGGTAGATATTAAAGGAAAAACAAAACATCTAGACCATATGCTACACTATATCGTTGGTGGGGTGACAAAACCTTGTATCTCAAAAATCATGAATTTTCAGGAGAGCGAAAAAACTTTCCTGTCTCAACAAATTTAGTGCTGTGACACCGTTCTTTCTTTTTAAAACTGGAATATTTATACAATTTTTAATGTCATTGTTGAAATACAGTAAAATAATTGTTTTTATATTTGAAAGTGAGTTACGAGTTTTTTGCGTTTATCTACATTGAGATACGAGTTTTTACTTTCAACTCTGAATGAGTTACGAGGATTTGAATACACTAACTTCGGTACTGTTAGGCCGTGTGTGAGTTACGAAGAAAAGGAATTACGTATCTTACAATGTATGTTACAAGGTTTTGTCAGTTCAGCTTCAAAGGGGGTTAAAGTTAGGAGGTTTAGTTTAAGGGTGTTTGTGTGGAATTTGTGAAAAAACCGAGGAGGCGTTCCATGGATTTATCAGGTGGTGTCGTAGGCCATTAGGAACAACATTATGCAAACAAATCAAAATCTCTAAAAATTTGAGATACGAGGTTTTGTCACCCCACCGACGATATGCAAATTTTGAAGAGAAACATCATATCTTACCCATGAACACCTGTCCGAAGTATGTCCTCGATGTTCTTCAGCTTAGCTGTGATGTGCTCTACCTTCCTACTTGACCCTATCTCTGTCATCACCAGTGACTGTTTGATGTCTGCATAAATAATAACAATAGTCACATTTGTATAACTGTTATAATAATGACTTTTTTAATGTGCACATATCCACCCCAAGGGATGCTCAAGGTGCCTTAACAAATTTGGAAATTATTACCCTGGCTTCAGCTGTGCTGCCATTAAGGCACTCTACCATTTCAAGGAATCAATTCCTGCCAGGTACCCATTTACATCACCTGGGTTAAGTGTGGCAAATGTAGATCAATGTCTTGCCAAAGGACATTAAAGCTAAATACATTGTACGGTATTTGTCATTACCCAGTTTGACATCTGGAAAAATAATAATAATTGTCACATTTGTATAGCTGTTAACGCTTCGTTTCTAAGTGCTTTACATTGTAATTGTAATTACCCTAGTTACTGGATTCAATTGCTAATCCACACATGACAGCGCACATGCTCCCCTCCCTGAGGAGTATTCTGGCCAGGTGCCATTTCACAAGTGAACACATGCCAATCCCACCCTATATACGTTCACATCCTGTCGGGTACCAGGGTGGAGGGAGGCAAATGTAGATTAATGTCTTGCCTAAGGACATCAGTGCCACGGTAGGAATTGAACCGTGAACCATGTCATCCGCAGTTCGGCGACGTATCCACTAGACGACAACACCTCTACATAGCAATGCAATTTACAACAATTAAGAAAATGGATAGTGTAAGACAATATTCAGTTACACAACATGTACAGAACTTGCTTTGATGCCAATTTCATGAGCTTTGCCTGACAATAAATAACATGTGCCATAATTTTATGATTATTAGGAGATAATACAGCAGATGCAATCGATCAAAAGAGAGCAAGAAAGACTGTCACATGGGCAAAGAAAATCTAAATGAAATAATGCTAAAAAGGCGAACTCTACAGCATTGTTGGTGTGGTTGTTTTTGAGATAAAGAAAAGGCATCTTAACAAACTCTTTAAGCTCACAGGTAAACTTCATAAATAAAACTATTATAATTTAGCAGCAAAGGGTAGGATTTGAGATCACCTTCCCATGTCTCAGAAACCATGCAAAACAGTACATATGTGTCCTTCCAGGAGTACGGGGCTACAGCATATTTTTTGTTATTTTGTTATTATTTTTGTCGGTACATGAGATGCTGAGAAAAGGACTCTCTCAGGGATACAATGTGATGGCATGTTCTAGACCAACAGCTTGAAATCTTAACAGAGAGCATTCAACGTTGACTGATACTGCTACCACAGGACCTGGTGTACACACAAGCTGTATTACCAGTTCCCTAAGGAAATAATTAGCCAACTGTACATCAAATTTGCTGGTAGTCAGTCCCTATCAAGTTAGCCTTCTTAGCAAAATAAAAACTGTTCATTGAAAATTGAAAAATTAAGTTATGAGCAAAAGTGATGATGTTTCTATCAATTGGCCCTACATTCAATTTGGAGTTTTGGTTAGTTAGGGTTAGGTTTGTACATCAAGCAGAGTACATGTAGCATATATGCATATTCAATGTGCAATTTGGGTAAAGTTCTTCTTCTCCTATTAAAGTTTCAATATTAGTGCAAACCAAAAAGTGATTCAATGATTACTCTTAATGAAAGTTTAAGCCACACATTATGGTGCATTGAACGGGGTCAACCGTGACTAGCTCTTGCTACATGAATGTGGGCTCCAATTACTATATGCATAGTTATTGCCATGCATAACTACAATGTAACTTGAATTTTCAGTAAGAAATGGAAGGAATGAATGAACAAATATAATACAATATGGATGGATAGAAGGAGGGGTGGATGGATGGATGGATGGATGGATGGAAGGAGGGGTGGATGGATGGATGGATGGATGGATGGATGGAAGGAGGGGTGGATGGATGGATGGATGGATGGAAGGAAGGATGGATGGATGGATGGATGGATGGAAAGAGGGGTGGATGGATGGATGTAAATAATGAATGAAGTAATGAATGGATGAAATAATACACTCAAAGACTGTTACCATACCTTCTTGACCTGAGCAGTTGATCTGAGCATCATTACAATAAGCCCCTTTGCCTTTGATGGCAGTGAACATTTCATCTAAGATAGCATTGTATACCACTCCTGCAACTAGGTTTTTGTTGATGGCCAGACCAATGCAAACAGCAACAAAAGGAAAGCTGCACAATATTAAAAAGAAAAGTATGGTTTTGTTAGATTCAACAAAAACTCCAGCCGACCAAATTCCTTAAGTAATCAGTCAGTATACAAATGATGCACAGGTTCGAGTGCGTCGGTAGGGATTGTGTGCACAAGGTACCTTTGAATGGTTTTAGACCAAATTCAAAGGTACCTCGTGCACACAATTCCACCGACCCACAAATTATACCTGTGCATCATCTGTTTTATAAGATGGGGCCCCAAATATTGTCAAAAATACAAAATGTTGTTATTTTACAGATTTACTGGACGCATGATTTTGCCATAGCCATGCTTTCCGGTAATTACCGGAAAGCATGATTTTTAAATTTGCACAATTTTGTCTGTTCTTAGTGCAATGTATTAAAACAAATGTAGAATGACTTAGGCCTAAACGTTAACAAAATAAAGTCAGGCCTAACTGACCTTAACATGAAACCTTAACAAAAGAAAGTCATTAAATCAACATAAATTTATTTTGCAAGCTTTTGAGCTTTGGGGAGGTGCAGTCTAAATTAGAGGAGGTCTGGATCTTGTCCATATCAAGTACAGAAATTGAGGCTTTATGTGTGTGGTGCTTCCCGGACGCGCCCCTCTCGCTTCAGTTTCACCAACACAGCCTTAAACATACGTGTGCTCTCAAGAAATTGAAATTTGTTACAGATATCTAAAGTACAGTGATCCAAAAAGTGGCGTTGTTTGCCACAGCGAAGGTACTAAAGTCTAGGTTTACAACTCACCGTCAGTCTATGTACAGAAGCATAGAACTTAGTTTAGAACGATAACAGTTTGTCCAATTCTGGCGTAAAAATGTCTCCTAAATTGACGTTCTTGATCTGTGCAAACTTTTCCAACTTTGAGAAACCATACTTTAATAGAAATTTTCATGCTAGCCGCATCTGAATCATCCAACAATTTAGATAATTCTTCTTCTTACAGAAGCTGGAAAATCAAATTGCCGAGCGGTTTCGCCATCTTGTTTTTGGTTTGGTTGTTTTCCTTAGTGGAGAAGAGAGAAAGTGCAAACAATCGGGATATCTGTGTTATCGATTCCAATATCGCATATATCGTGTTGATATCCCGTGCATCCAGTAAAAATAACTACACAGCATTTGACCAATCAGATTGCAGGGATTCTTCTAACCATCTAATAACAACCAATGAGCTAATCAGCGAACAGTCACCACTCTGGTGTGATTTCAAGTAGGACTTTATAGGCTCAAAGAGTAGAGCAATTTGGCACTGAATATTTCGGAAAGCCATTCCTAATCACAACAGAGGTGTCAGTTTTCTTTGGAATAATCAATACTTTTTTTGGTAGGTGTTTTGAGCATCTCATGAGATGGAATTGGCGTTCTTTTATCATTATCATTACTGATCATGCTTACCTATGGACAAAGTTGGTGGTTCCGTCAACAGGATCGATGATCCATGTAGGGGCATCCGTCAGCTCTATCTTCTGACCGGCAGCTACGCTCTCCTCGCCTATAAAACTGGGTCAAAAAGCATGGAAAATTATTTCTGAAATACGGCAATGTCCTTACCTGTTCAATAAAGAAGAGAGAGAAAGAGAGAAGCCTTTTTAAAGCTGAGATAAATTAAATAACTATCACAGTTTACCTATAGCAAGAAAATATCAATATACTATTGAAAGAAAGGCCAATAAATTCACTCTTAGTCTTAGACGCTTTGCAGTTGATGGAAGGTTATTTTATACTGAAGGCAACAAAACAGCCCCGCCCGCACTATAAAAAAAAGGCTTGTCTTCAACGTACGCCCTTGTACAATACAGTCTTTGAGGTCATGTAACTCAATTGCCCACTATGTGCACGTGCACCACTTGTGACTTCTCTCCAGTAATGTCAAAGCTGTCATCTCTTGCAACCGAACCCAAGCCAAGGCCATTCATTGTCCAGCGCGCACTCAAGCCATTGCAAGAGAGGCCTGAGTGCAGACCAAACAATAGCCTGCCCCAAACCCAGGCCTAGCCACAGGAGGCAACTATCTCACATTACTACACTATAATTGATATTACTAAAATAAAGCATTTTTACATTCATTTTGAGAGATCAAAAACTCTCATGGCTACCAATTTATTTGTTTTTGACATCTTTCAAATATACTGTTGAACACTGATAAAAAAAAAAGACAAAGAATGTTTTTACTTGAAATAGAGCTGGAGGCAATTCAACTGTCACACCTCAAGTTTGTTTTCTCCTTCTTCCTTTCTTTCATTTTAAAAATTTGTTTTCCTGTAATGAAATTGGCCTAAATGTTCAGAAATCTCTGAACAATACATGTAATGAGGAAAAAGTATATCCCTCAGAGCTGCCAACCTTGTGCGACCAAAAAAAGGAATCATGATGGCAAAAAAAAAGGAATTTCAAGCAAAAAAAGGAATTCATAAAAACAAAACTTACAACCATGTGCGACACACTTCCAATGCAGAAATGTTCATTCATCATGCTGTTTTTTCCATATAAGCAGGTAATTTTTTTCGGTGGTTATTTTGGTATTATCGGCATTTCATTTTTTTTGAGAATATTTTTCTCTTTAAGTATGTTTTAAAATGAGTTTTCTATTGAAATTGCGATCAAATCACCATTTTAGGTCAGTTGTTTGACGTGCGGTATGTAAAAAAAAAAAATTAAAAATAAAAATTTAAATTTTTTTTTTATTAAAAAACATATTTTATAAAGAAAAAACGTAATACCGTATTTTGGAGGAAAAAACAGAGTAATTCCGGCAAATACGGAATGGTTGGCAGCTCTGTATCCCTCCATTCAATATGCTTACCAATGATCTGGAAATTTTTCTCGCAGGGTGCCTATGATCATTTTCTCCACATTCTGATCAGTTTCTGTGACTAGATCTGCTGCTGAACTTTTGGTTTCTACCCTCTTCTCAAGTGCAAATGCTGCCTTAACTACCTGTTAAGATCACAGAGAGAGAGAGAGAGAACAAAAAAAAAAGTTGTTGCAGATCATAACAAGTTAAAATAAATTTGCGCACTCATATTCAAGCTGTTCATAATTTTGACTGACTACATCATAACTATTATGGTTGACAATAGCCATTCTAAACTTAAAGACAGCATGTATTTTCTTTCTTTCTCTCTTTCTTTCTTTCTTTCTTAAAGCAAACTGTTATTTTACACAATTTTATCATAATCCCAAATAAATTGGTGTTTTAAAGAGGTACTCAATAAAAAATAAAAATCACACAACAGTTTAAGATCGATTCATCTCTGTTGGCTGACTCCCAGCTCCAGCAAGTCTGAAATGTTCCTAGTGCCAATCATTCAATCTGAGGCAGGTTTATTTTTAACCATCAAAGTAGAAGTCCACCTTGATATCAATTTTTCTCCAGATTTTCTCAGTCAAATTTGAGCTCCATGTTGAAATTCTTGCAGACGTCATCTTTCTTCATGTGCAGTAACAGTATACGGCTGCAAGAATTTCAAAACGGAGCTCAATTTCGATGGAGAAAATCCGGAAAAAAAGGACCCTTAAACGCATCATACAGTCAATCTGGTAGATCTAAGTAGAACAGATGTATGGATGTAGTCTATATTAGCCTAGGCATAATTTTCAAAAATAAATGCATCGGATATGAATCTGCTAAAGTGACATTTTAGTCCAAAAGTTTGGCCGGAATTTGATGGTTAGATCCACACATAGGAGCATCACTATCCTGGCTATGTAGTAAAACAGGCAACACTGTCCACCAGCACATTAACGCGACATTTTGAAAAACATGCTGCAGCTACCCTACTAAACTGTTATCGTACATACCGGTATTAACCACTCAATATTGATGACAAATAACAAACAAATAAAATTTACCAGTTTCGTTTATGAATTTTACTTGAATTTCCGGTAATTCTAGCAAGACTTCTGCCTATTTGGTCCATCGTTCTTAACTCTGAACCTCCATTTTCTAATGTTACGTACGTGTTGAAATAAGTGGCCCGACAGCGCCTTCATACTTTAATGATACGTACACGCACACGCCATGGCGCGCCATTTGCCCAATAATTCAGATGAACACTAATATCGCCGATAAACAGTGTATATCGCTGATAAGGCCTAAAGTAAAAACTTGTTGTATTGCCCTTTGCGATCTACGGTCGGCATTTAAAAAAAGTTTTTTTTTTAACCGTTTTTTTAGCACTTCGTAAATGTGCTGCTTCCGTATAATGCGCTGAATAACACTCATACGGCGCATTATACGGAAGCAGCACAATTTACCCACAATTACGGAAGTGCCAGTCAGAGGTCATCACCATTGTGTAGACATCGTGAATTCACACGGTACACGTGAAAAGGGAGCTGAGCTGTATCGGTCTGGTAAGAAAATTGCTCTTATTTTGTTATTTTTAGATCCGATTTTGAAATTAAAGCGGTAATTAAGACCAAAACTACGACAAAATTTATCAAAGCCACTGTCCAATATTGGTCGGGTGCGCGAAAGTGTGATTTTGGACCACTTTTGAGTTTTGTTTACATGCCTCTCCGTGCAGGGGTATGGGAGCCGTTTAAGGCTCTCTCGAATAATATCATTAAAAAAACATTTCGAGAGAGCCCTTAAGGCTAACATAACCTAGGTCTATGTCGTGTTGTATTTGTCGAGCATTTTACATGTTTAAAAGTAAAAAAATTCTATTCCGTGCCTCCCCCATACATGCAGTGCTAGAGGTCCATACGCATTAGCATGTGGGGTCACTCTATCATAATATCTATGCTTTGCTGGAGTGGGTTAGATCCATTCACCGAGTTTGCAGAGCAGAATATGGTCAGCTTCTGTCTCTAAAGAGAGGTGCCGACTCTACCCAAATAAGAGGCTAAAGAATGAAAGAGACATACATTTTTGGTCTACCCTAACCGAAGCTTAATTAGACTTAGAAAAAGTAGAATCTACACAACATAAACAAAACAAACATTGATTTGAATTCTAGACTAGAATTTACATTGATTCTGGTCAGGACACTGCAATTTTGCAAAATATGAAAATATTTAAATTAATCTCATCAGCGGAAAAAATGCACACATACAACACAATTCTTTCTAGCAATCTTTAGGATTCATGGACCATTGACTATTTTGAACAATTTTGAACAAAATTCCTGGACAAAATAAGAATTTCATCCCGTCTTCTATAGCTAACACAAAAATCATTGTATGGGACAAAGCAAGTAAAAAATGGTCGGGGAGGTCACATTCAGTCTCATAAGGAGAATAATAAATAGCTTTCTTTACCTGGCCAGCATTTCTAGCCACCTCAACGGCAGTCTCTAGGAAATTTTCCACATCTTCGTCTTCAAACTTCGTAACAGCTGTAGCCTCATCTGCCATCTTTCCAAATGATTTCCAACGAATTTACCAGGAAACTTAAAATTGTCTAGCCTAAATTCAATTCGGCCTTTCTTCTCGATACGATGGATTCGCCAAGCTAAGGCGAGTCGACGTTGGCTTTTCGATAGAGTGAGCATGCATGCATGCTATCGATCGAGGTCCATATGATGAAGCAAGTTCGGTTTGTTTCTTTGGTTTTCTTCTTTTTCTTGAAATAATATGACTGTCACTGGCCCTGAAAAGTAACCAGGTTGAATCAGAATCATATGAAATGTGCGAACCATATGTACGTCCTATCATGTCTTTACACATCCCCTACCCCCAAAGAAAAAAACCCAGGAATATATGAGGATTTTAAAAATATAAAAAATGAAGAAAAAAAAGCTGTTATGAAAAGGCCCAGATCAGAGGCGGTCACTTTTTCAAGTGCCCCCTTTTACATAGGAAAGGTACCCTCTTTTACTTCAGATGAGAGCCCCTTTTTATTTCTAATAATTAAAAGTGCCCGTTTTACATTCGTGTAAGTATATGCCTCGTACCACTTCTGATAAGATTCCCCTCCACCGAGAGATAATTGGCCCTATTCAAATTTGAGAAGTGCCCATTTTACATTGAAAAGTGCCTTTTTTAAAATAAGTGCCCCTTCCCCTTCTGATAAATGCCTCTTTTCATCTTTGATGAGTGCCCCTTCTCACCTCCGACTCATAAGTGCCCTCTTTTATTTTGACAAGTGCACCTATTTCTAATAAATGCCCTTATTCTTTCGAATAAATTTCCCTTCCTCATAAATGCCCTTTCTCACACGTCTGATAAATGCCTCTATGAAAATCTCATAGGTGCCCTTTTTCTTTCGTCAAGTGTTCATTTCCCATGTAACAATATAAATGCCTCTTTCCATTCTCACAATTGCCCCTTTTCATCTCATGTGAGTGCCCCTTTTCAGGTACAAAAAATGCCCCGAACCACATCTGATGAGTGCCCTTTCACCTCTTATAATTGCCTCTTTTCAAATCTGAGAGGCGCCCCTTTTTTGTGAAAGTTTTAGGTGCGTCTTCTTTTCTTGATCCAATAATATTTTTAAATTCAACATAAACATAATACAAATATACAGACATCCATGCAGCAACAATAAGTCAAAGAAGAAATCAAATGGATCTATGGTATAACTATATAGAATAGAAAATATATGTGCGTCTTCTCATTTCCGGTGAGTGCCTTTATTAAAATTTGAAAGGTGCCCCTTAAAATTTTTAATAAGTGCCACTTTTCATCTCCAAAAAAAAAAAGTGCAATAAATTTTCAATAATTCATTGCATTCCCCCCCCAGTCCCCAACAGGAACAATTCCTCTGTAGGGCCATGCATTATGGTTCAAGGCATGCCCACATACAAGATTTTTGTATGTTGGGGGTCGGGGCAAAATGCAATGAATTATTGAAAATTTATTGCATTTTCTTTGTTTTTTTGTTTTTGTGGGGGCTTCGATGACCCTAGCGCCCGCTGTGTATAGTCATGATTTATTGGCTAAGCAATGGCTTCGTTACTGTGAGCCCCCAGGATCAAAACCTTGTCGATGTGGTATATATTAGTGCCCTTTTATGAGGCATTAATCCCTATTGCTGTCAGTTATGACTTAAGGACGTAGGTCCCCTAGTTGATTAGCATAGTAGCACACACATTCTTCAGCAGTCACGCAAAACAAACACTCCCCAATTGTCATTCAATAAAATCTGAGAATGTATACTATTATCTAGATCTATAAGAAACAAATCATTGTCAAAATCATTCAATGAATTGGGGTAAAAAATAATTATTCCACCATTATGACCAACAGTGTATATTCGGTCATTTTGTTGAAAGGAATCATCCCAATTTATCAATTTTGCGAGATGTTAAGCGAACGAGGGGGGAAGTTTGTCGTGGTATCAATTTTATTTTGACATAAAGTACAATGAATAAGGTTATATTCGGGCGCTATGCTGCCCGAGGTGCCCGAATAACTTCATATAATCATAATGGAGATTTTCATTGACCTCTCTGTCTGAACTAGCCATGGCAGTTTCTAAATTTTGCGAGCGAGCAAAGCAAGGGAGGAAATTTTCACTTTACCCTCTTTGTTATTTCTTCATCAAAATACCAAAAGTGATATATATTTGAGAATATTGCTGTTTCAGTACTAAAATCTTTGAAGAACGTTTTCGAGCAATCTATCTCTTTATATTATCTCACATTTCTTCTTTCCCCTTACCTTCATCTCTTCCCTCGCTCTCGATCATCTCGCTCTCTCTCTCTCTCTCTTTGGCCGATGAGGGGAGGGGGGGGGGGGGATGGGAGGCTAGTCCAGCCTCTGTACCGTCTTCGTGTCGCACGCCCAATCAGCTGATCAAAGGGGCTCAGATCAACTCCGATTCTGCATCCTTTTGGAGGGACAAAAGTGCACACTGCTCCCTCTTTTCATGTACTATTAGCCTATGAAAAAGATTTTTTAGTGAACCAGCGAAATGGAGATTTTGGCCTGCGAGCGCGTAAAATATGGACATTAAATATTCATGAGCTCTTTCCAGCTTTAAGCATAGTAATGTAACGAAAACGGGTCTCTCACTCTATGGGTAGCGTCACTTCTTCAGTCAGAACCCGCTCTTTCTCTGTACTCGACGTTCTCACAAAAATATATTGTGCAACAGACACTCTCAGATCAGCTTACAATCACTTAACTAAATTAAGTTACCAACACAGGAAATAATATGCACTTACAGATCAAGTAATGTTTCCAAGAACTTTAATAATCTGAACTTCCAAACAAATTAAGGCACAACTTCCTTCTACGGCAGCTCAACACAGACTGCCCACAAGATTAACCCCACGTACGCGCATCGCAGTGCGCGACGTAACCATAGCGACATCTACAATAACAATAAACAATTACAATAACTAACGCCCTCTAAAGGCTAGGTAATGTAAATAACGATTTCGTTACACTACCCCGCCCCAAGTCTGGGCAGTCCTCTGACCAAAAACACAAAATTACATAGATAAAACTTTTATACATTTATTTCAATTAATCATTCTGTCCTGCGAACAACATCTATAAATACATTTTTGCAATTAAAGGCCGAAAAATCCGCTGGAATACTTTCACGTATAGCAATAATTACATATAATTGTACAAGAACAAGAGTGGGAAAAGATCAAGTCCTTTCCAAATTTAAACTACTTCAACCTGTACTATCAGTATGTACGCAGTACCACTATCCTCGAATAAGCCTGCAGTTAAACATGAGGTAAGAGTTATGTACAAGTAATATATACACAGTATATACACACGCATTATCATCTTTGGTGGAATAGATCATAGGAATTCATTCTGGCGTAAATATTCATATTTTCAATGATAGCGCCGTGAAAACTAAAAACAACAACAACATCAATAGTTACATGTAAGGAAAATTTAATCACTATAAGAGGAATATAAATGAGTTCCGCCATGAACTTCAATTGCAGCATAAAATACATACAAGAAAACAGGTTTCCAAGTAATTGCAATATTAATGATAGCTGAATTGATATACATGTATGAGTTAAACTTCTGGTAAGATTGCTCCAGCCTTCAAGTTAATACTGTAATTGGTCCTGATCTCTTCCTCCACTACCAGACTCCCGTCACAAAAAGATCGTCTTGTGGTGACTTCAGTAATGCTGTTAACCCGGCCGACCAGGGCCCTTTCCAGCTCCTGTACGGACATCGGAGAACCTAGCGACTGATCCGATGCGAGGTGATGCAACTTTGTAGGCGCCGGCGAACTTTCCTTCTCACACCCATGCAGGAAAACCACGCTGTACTCTCGTACCTTTTCCTCCTGAAAGAGCTTCTTGCCCCCCGAGAACTGTGTTGAGGAAGACCTCTCTTCTACCTGCAGAGGGGTGCCCGGAAGAGTGCGTCGCAGATCCAACCCCTGCATTGGCCTTCCCATCTGGATCTTCCGAAACGTTGGGGTTGGGCAGTCCTCCACCTCAGCTTCTGATTCTGACGATACCGAAGAGGTCTCACTTTCCCTCTCCTTTAACAGCATGCTGAGATCTTTACCGGTCGGCCTCGATGCATTCCCGTTCTCTGAAGAAAGTGTTTCCTTCGAAGCATGAATACTCAGCTCACCTGCTGCTACAGGGGTTACCACAGGCGCGTCTTGCCGCTTGTCTTCTGTTGTCTTCCCCTCGTGTCGACTCTGTACGTGCCTCGTCAGGTTGTCCTTCCTAAAAAAAAACTTGTCGCACCCTCTGCATTTGTGTTCCTCCCTTCTTCGATGTCTCTCTTGAATGTGTCTCTCCAAACTTCTCTTGTGGGAGAAGTAATGACCGCAAGAATAGCACTTCACGTTCCCCCTGGAATGTCGCATACTGGCTTACTGTAAGAGAATCGGCACAGAGGACATCAGGTTAACACAAAATCGAGATCATCTGGATTATCATTCATCACAGATAATATAGTTGCAATGGGTTAACTATCTAATTAATAACTGTAGCGGATAGGCTCGTTTCTTTTCCTTGACGGATTTCTTCTAGGGGGTTGGACCGGAACTTTTCGTGGCGCCGGAACAGGGGGTGTGACAGGCTGGGAATCTTCCCTGTTCAAGTCCTCGATGTCCATATGCTGTGTCAGTTGGCTAGGAGCCTCCTGCTCATTTCCGTGAGCGTCCCTGCTTTCACTTGCTTCTAACCAGGATTGAAGAGGTTCCCCCTTGTACGGCTTCAACCTGTCAACATGGACCACCTTCATCTTTCCATTTCTCTTCGCCTGTATTCGGCAAGTAACATCTGACAATTGCCGAATTAACAAGTAAGGGCCCTCCCACCTCCTCTGGAGCTTCGGGGACAAGCCTTTGGTCTTTGCCTTGTTGTAGAGCCACACAAAGTCGCCCACTGCCAAAGGACTACCCCCTGCCTTGGAGTCATAATCCTTTTTCTGCCGCCTAGCACTTTCAGTGCAGTTCTTACGGGCCCTTTCGTGAGCTTCCCGCATGCGTTGCCTCAAGGTGTATGCGTAGTCTGTCTCAACATCATGCTCCTCGGGGTCCT